CTGGGGTCCAGAGAAGGGAGCCTGGGGAGGTGGGGCGGGTGAGGACCTGGGGCAGCAGGTGCCCAGACTCCAGCTCCTCCTGTTCCTTCCTGCCACCACAGCCCCACTTGGCCTCCGCACACTTCTAACTCAGTCCAACCCAGCCTTCCGGAGGGTTCAGGGGGCTGTGGCCCAGTGAGGAAGAAAGCCTGTGGAGGACAGTTGAGCCTTTTGTACTGGCAGCCCCCAGGCCCGGGCCCCCTCCCCTGTCCCCGACGTGGGCATAGCCAGCTTCACCACTCAGAAGACACCCTGAGGCCCCCGCCTCTCTCATGCCCAACTTCAGCCTTTCCTGTCCCTGGGGCGCCCTGAGAACAGCTGTCAACTCAGAAGGCTCATGGCATCTCTCCAGGTGCTCCTGGAGGAAAGGGGGTGAATATTTATTCCCTCGAGTTTGCACTTGATTTGTGAGGGTTCTCAGGTTTGTTGTCGGCGTCCCCCAGCCTAGCGGTCTGTCACTGTCTGTCTCTGCCGGCAGAGCAGGACTGGAGGGTGGGTCAGTGACACCAGAACGTCCGTCCGTCTACCCACGAGCTCTCCTAGATACGTCTGTCTAGTTTGGGATCTTGCATGTAAAATACTCCACAATAAACAAACAAACAGACTGCTGCTGTGCAATCTCTGTTCTGTTGGGTCTGCCAGAGCTGACCTCCAGCTTTGTCTAAGTAGAGGCAGCGTAAGCCTCCGTGCTGCCAGGTAAGCTCGCCCCACTCCCTCTGCTCGGGGGTAGCAGTCGGAATGAGACCAAGGCCCTATGCAGAGGGAGTCTAGGAGCAGCCTCCAGAGTGTGAGGGCCCCAGGCTCTGTGGTTGGAAGGTGTGTCCCCCTGTGAAAGGTGCTGTGGGCCCAAAAGAGGCCTGCTCTGTGTCCCTGTAGTTCAGTCACTCAGTTGTGTCTGACGCTTTGTGACCCAATGGACTGCAGCACGCCCAGGCCTCCCTGTCCATCACCAACTCCCAGAGCTTACTCAAACTCATGTCCATCGAGTCAGTGATGCCATCCAACCATCTCATCCTCTGTCGTTTTCCTTCTCCATGTCTCTGCTTTTTAATATGCTGTCTAGGTTGGTCATAGCTTTTCTTCCAAGGAGCAAACATCTTTTAATTCCATGGCTGCAGTCACCATCTGCAGTGATTTTGGAGCCCCCCAAAATAAAGTCTGTCACTGTTTCCACAGTTTCCCCATATATTTGCCATAAAGTGATGGGACCGAATGAGATGATCTTAGTCTTCTGAATGTTGAGTTTTAAGCCAACTTTTTCACTCTCTTTCACTTTCATCAAGAGGCTCTTTAGTTCTTCACTTTCTGCCATAAGGGTGGTGTCATCTGCATATCTGAGATTACTGTCCTGTGTCCCTGAGTGGGGTGCAAAGTGGGGTGACCCTGAGACATCACCGTGGATGTGCCAGGATCCCATGCCGAGCCTGTGGGGTGCCAGATTGGCCAGGAGGGGAGGGGCAGCTCCAGTCCAGTTCTCAGAATTAAGGACACTTTGCAGCCAGGAAGCCCTGGAGCCCTCTTCCAGGGCCTGCGGGGCGGGGAGGTCTTGGGGAGCAGCCAGAAGAGGGGGCAGTGTGGGGAGCCCTGTGAGTCCACTCATGACTCATGGCCCACTGCCCACTAGTCCCCCACTGAGACATCTGAGATGTCCTTCCTCAGCCCCCCTCTCTTCCAAGGAAAAGGTCTCTGGGGCCCTGAGGAGCTGGGCATGGGCAGACAAGAGGCCTTGAACATGCAGGACTCACCCAGAAGTGCCATTTGCTGTAGTGGAACCCCTGCCAGCTCTTGCTGGGTGGCTTCAGAGGATCTGTGCAGGGGCTCCAGGACCTCAGCACCAGGGCGTCCATGGGATGGGCCATTCCCTCCCCACCCCTGCCCAGAGCTGCAGGCAGGGTATCCTGTGCTGTGAGAAATGCGGTCAAACGCAGTTAACCCGATGCCTCCAGGGCCCTGCCTGGGTGGATTCCAGGGACAGAGGGGACCAGGGAAGCTCACAGGCCGCTGTAGCCTGCTGTTGCTCAACTCCCTTTTTTCAAGAAAAGCCAGGAATGCAGCTTGCAGTGAAATGTACACTTGACAATGAACTCAGAATCAGAACGCGCGTGTAGTTGGAAGTGGTGTCAGTTGATGCCTCACTCTTCCTGTAAGCCCCAGCCCTCACTGAGTTCCTGAGGCTCTTCCTTGGCTGGTGTACCCCCAGAACAGCTCAGAGAGGGCTTCAAATGACTTGTCCAGTATACAGCAGAAGCCAAACTGGCATGAGAACACACAGTCATCCAAGACTAGAACCAGCCATGTCAATGGCCATCTGGTTCCACAATGACCAGATGGGGAGCTGGGAGGAACCCAGTGTTCCCTGCAGGCTCTCTGCTGCCTAGGCCACAAGCTGGGCAGGTCCCAGCTCAGCTACTGCAAAATGAAGCACGAACGGGCAGGCCAAGGGCAGGTGGGCTCCAGGAGTGGGGAGGGGTCTGTGTAGCCTGAGGCAATGCCCAAGGCAGGCAGCCCTGACAGCTCCCGAGCTTGCCCCGCCAGCTCCCGAGCTTGCCCCGCCACCCGCCCGAGTTCCGGCATCAAGGACATGGCTTGGCCCTGCCTGCGCTGGACACCTGCCCCAAACGGCTCTGAACCCACAGACTATGCCCCTGTGCCTCTCAGACGCCCACAGCAACAAGGAGCAGAGACGAGGCCGGCCTCTCAGGTGGGACCCGGCCGGACGCCGGCTCTGGGCAGGGCGGCACGGGCGGGGCTCCGGGTCGGTCGGGCGGCACACGTGACACAGCCGCCGGGAGCCGGGCGTTGACGCCGCGTCACCCCACCCTGGGCCCCGCGCCCATTGGCTGCGCCTCGGGCCGGGGCGGGGCTCGTCCAGCAGGCGCCCCCGCGGCTCCCGGCGCGCGTCCCCGCCTCGCTCTGCTCACCTGTGAAATGGGATGCCGTCCTCCGGGAAGAAAAGGGTTAACACGGACGCGCGCAGCTCCGGCGGCGCCCGGTGCTGGTGCGGCCGGCAGCAAAGCCCCCGGGAGGGCCAGGGGAGGGGCGCTCAGAGGACCATGTTCACCGAAGAGCCGCAGGCCCAGCCGGCTTTCCCCCCACTCCCCTGGACGCCTGCTCTGCCCGGCTGGTCTCAGGCTGCCCAGTAAAGCAATGATCTCTTTGGTGGCAGATTCCTCCTTGCCCCCACGACTGGGACCTACAGGGGGCTTCAGCCAGCCTTCACTTCAGCTGGCTGCGGGTCTCCATGGGCCCAGCTTCATCACCTCTTTTCTGAACTGCTGCAATTACGCGTACATATTGACTGAGCTTGCTCTTTACATATGCGGTATAGGCAGCTACAAGACAAGCAGGCACGTCTGTCTTGACCTTGACTCCAACAGACTCTGCAGGGTTACAGCAGGAAGGAGTGTTCTCATTTTACAGACACCAGAAAGGTGAAGTAAGATGTTCACAGCAAGCAGGTGAAAACCCAGACCTGTTTCCTGACTCTTAAGAAACTGGTCTTCACACAGCACCCCCTCCCCTCCCTGGGAAGGGCTGTTGGAAATTTCAGGGAACTCCCCAGATTCCCAAGGCCCTCTGGGTGCTTGGCTCCTACTTGGGGGGGTGGGGCCTGGGCATCAGGATGCAGGGGGCTGTTCCCCCACAGAAGTTCATCTGGGGGGCCAGGCCCCAAGGGTCCCTGAGCAGGACCACTTGGGAAATAGATATGGTTTGGAGGTCCCCCGGGGCTTGGCCATCCTTGTTCTGGGTAATTTTCCACCGCAGCCACGTCCGGGAGGGGAACAAAGAGCCCTGCGTGTCCAGGCTGAGCCCCAGGGACTTGGGCCTCCAAGGCCTCTCTTGCTCTGGGCAACACCCCCCTTCCAAAGTGCGCCACAAATGTCACTCCGTCAGCGGGTGTGGTCAGACAGGCTATATCTGGAATCTGAGCAAAGCAGTACTCAGGATGGCTGGATTCACTGAGGAGTTGGGGGTGGAGGTGGGGGTCCAGACCTCTGATAAGGCTCCTTGGCTTCCCCCTACCAAGGGTGCCTCTGCTCACTGCTTCCACACTTCCAGCACCTGCATGTTAGTGTCTCAGTCCACCTCATTAGGCCTCTCCCTTGGCACCTAGCTCTGCACCCAATCCACAGGACCCAGGGTCCTGGTCCAGCCCTCTCCCCAGCCTAGCTGTCTCGTCTGACCTGCCCAGGCCTGTCCTGATCCAGGGCAAGGGGGCCCAGAACCAAAGCACAGACAGCCCCTACCTCATCCCAGCTGCCCTGGGGATGGGGCCCAGTCCTGGTACAGCTCCAGGTGGCTGTGTGAGCTTGTGCTGGTGAGCTCCTGAACTCTGGGTGCAGAGGCCAGCCCACCTTCAGCAGCCGGACTGGGCCCACTAACCCCCCCAGCCCTTCTGTCAGTCCCACAGGTGGATCTGAGAGGAAAACAGAGTAACTCAAGAGTGGGAAATTCTAGCCTCTTCCAGGCTCTTCAGATCTAAAGAAGGAAGGGCAGGCTCATCTCACAGGCCCAGCTGGCCACCGTCAGTAACGTCCCGGTCAGCCTATTTGGAGACACCATCAAGCCCCATTACAGCTGAGGAAACTGAGGAACAGTGTGGTGAGGTAACTGGCCAGAGGGCACACAGCAGGTCTTGGACTAGCCTGTCTTCTAAAGACCAAATCTCGGAATGAGGTTTGTCGGGTCACTTCCCGCCTCAAGTTCAGAGACATCTGGGGCGGACCCAACCCGGGGCTTCCACTCAGCCCCCTTGCTCAGGGCGGGAGAAGCTGGGGCCTGCCGGAGCCCCGCAGTAATCCGCGCGGGGACGGAACGGCCATGGGGCGGGTGCGCAGGCCAGACCGGAGCCGCCTGACGCTCCTCAGGTTGGGCGGGACCGTCCACCCGGGGGCGGGGCTCCTGCAAGGCTCCGCCTCGCCCCGCCTGCCCCGCAGAACGGCCGCCGGGAACCCAGTTTCCGAGGAACTTTTCACGGGCGCCGGGCACCGCCGAGTTCAGGGCGGGACGCGAACGCGCGGAGCGGCTGCGGCGGGCCCGGCGGACCTCCGGGAGGAGGCGACTGCGCCATGGACGAACCACCCTTCAGCGAAGCAGCCTTGGAGCTGGCGCTGGCCGAGCCGTGCGAGCTGGACGCGGCGCTGCTGACCGACATAGAAGGTGCGTCAGGGGCACTGGGCTCCGCGCGCAGGCGGAGCCGGGCGGGGGACGCGGAGCGGGTCACGGCGCGGCCCTCGCCTCTGTGCGGGTCGTCCCGGGTCTCTGCGCCGAGCGCTGCGGGCCTCGCGGTCCTGTCCCGGCGGAGTCGCCCGTCGGCGCTGAGCACGTGCGCTTCTGGGCGCCCCGGCCCTCACCCCGCGGCCAGCGAGTCCTCAGTCGCGAGGCGGCGTTGACGAGAGCCGGGGAGCCGGCATCGCCGAGGCCCCGCCCCGCCCCGGCCTTGACGTCAGCGGGAGGTTACTCTCGGTCGTTCCCTCCGGCCCGAGAGTTCAGCTCGGCGCCCGCGCTCCTGCGCACGCGCGCCGCGGTCCCGCCGACCCTGACAGACCTGGTCCCGGTTCTCCTAGCTGGCTCCCGGTATCGGCTCGGCACACGTTTATCGAGCGTCTACTGAATACCAGGCCCGGCCCTAGGCACCAGGGGTTCACAGACCTGGGCTCCCCCTTTTCTTGGAAGCACAAACCCACCCTAAGGAAACCCATAAACAGATATTTACACCTTGTGGGGGAGCTGGGGCAGGGCGACTGCTTCGGGTAGGGCGGTGGGGTGGGACCTGAGCTCAGTCCTGAGGAGGATGTCTTCCCCGCAGAGGGCACGGCGAGGAGTTGAAGGGGCACAGGTGAGACTGGGCAGGTGGGTGGAAGAGGACTCGGCAGGGAAAGGCGGGAGCAGCAGCGTGGGCTCTCTTACATACCTGAAAACACTGCTCTGGTTGTTCTACAAAGAAGATGTTGGGGGCGAAGCTGCAGCGGGGCCAGTCAGGAGGCTGTTGCCCACGGTGCACAGAGCACATTCCAGCCTCCGCAAGTTGCCTCCGAGGTTCCTGTGCAGTTTCAGCCACGTTGGCTACCTTGCACTTGGTTGATGGGGAAAACAGGCCCTGAGAACAGGACCCAAACCTCCCACAGCCTGGATGGACTCATCCATGGAGCCTATGGCCACCCTAGGGTTAGCAAAACTGACACATTTGAGCCAATCACTCTTCAGATGGATGCTGAGAACCCAGCTGGTAGGGCCCGAGTTGCCAGTTTCCCTGGAGGGGAGTTGAGAGGAAGGCCGGGCAGTGTTGACTCAGGGGTGAGAGCTGAACTGGATCCCAGAGGCAGTGAGATGTTAAGTGACTTGTCCCAGGCCACACAGCAGAGCATGGTAGAGCCAGAATTCAAACCTAGGGTGGGACCTCCAGGGCCCACACTTTTAAATGCTAGCCTCCTATTGTGAGTGTGTGTGTGTGTGAGAAAGACTCCGTAGAGCAGGGGACTCAGGAGGCTGCTCTATATGGAGGTATGCTGGGGGCCCTGGAGTGGGTCGAAACAGGGTCATAGGTCACACAGCCACCTCCTCATCCTAGCCCAGAGCCTTTGACTCATGAAACTGAGGACTGGCATCAGGGAGTCCGCCCATGGCCCTGAGCCCCACCCAGCCTGGGCATGTGCCTTGGCCAGACTCCGTCATGTGACCAGCGCCCTCACCAGGAGCCCCAGGTCCTGTGCTGCAGGCCGGGCCCTGGCTGCAGCACACCACGATGCTGGGTGGATCCGCCTGCTCCCAGCCTCCTTTTCCTGTTCTTGTTTTGGGGTCCCTTGTGGCCATGAGAGAGGGTATGTGGGAGCCGCCTTGCATGAGTGCTGGGATTGTGTTGATGCCGTGGAGGGCCTCACTTCCTGCTGGTTCATTCACTGCACTATGCTGCTCAGTGACGAAGAGTCGATTGGAGGCTGCTAATCGGGTTGGCCTGGTCGAGGGGTGGCCTGGGCCTCCGGTGCATAGCTGGAAGTCACCTCTGCCTGGGCTCCCCAGTTCACTCTGTCTTTGAAATCCAGGTGTCTGCCTTTGGCCCAGTCCCTAAATCAACCACAGGGACCTGGCTTCCTGGGCTTCAGTCCAGCCTGCTGAAAGAGGTACATGGGGGCCAACCTGCCGCCCCGCCCCAGGCCTCCCCCTACAGTCTGTCATGCCAGTTCTCTCCCTGGTGCTGCCATGCATGGGCCCTCCTTAGAAAACAAGCTCAAGATTACAGCCCTGCTCTGGCCACAGCACATACCTGCTCAGCTCCCTAACCACCATGGCTCCCCAGAGCCCCAAGATACAGTCCCTTGTCTCAGCATGGTGTTTGAGACATGTCAGGTGGGCCGGGCCGGCCCTCCCGTGATGAGTCCTGTCCCTCCCTCCAGGCCCTCCCCATGCCCTGGACACACTCTGCCCCCACAGGGCGCCCCTGCCTTGTCCTCACATCCAGAGGTCCTGAGGGCAGAGCCTGGGAGAGGCCTCTCCCCCTGGACACGGCCCCTCTTCATCCCTGTCCTGCCTTGGGCGCCTGACCCGCCTGCCCCGGGTGGCAGGAAGCAGAGGCCCTCCCAGTGTGGCCGTGTGCTCTCTCCAGGCTGTAGTGGCTGCCCTGGAAAGCTGGGATGAGGCCACAGGTGGGTTGCCTGTGAGCCCTTGTGAGTTCCAGCCCTCACACCTGTGAGGGGGATGGGGAGAAAAGTGCTGGGGGCAGTCCAGGGAGGTGGGTGGGCTGGCAGTTGGGAGCTAGCTTCTGCCCGGTGGTCACCTCACTGGATGTGAACATCCTAGGTGACCTGCCCAGCCCCAGGCTGGGTCACCACCGGGCAGAGGCTGGGGTCTGGACTTCGCCCAGCTGATAGGGGCAGGCCAGGTGGCAGCGACTCCTGGCCAGAGCAAGTGCCTCTGTCCTTCTTGCCAGCCACAGGCCCCATGGATGTGCCTTTTGACCCTGGGACCTACTGGGCGTGCACACCTGCACCTGTGATAGGGGAGGGGGGAGCCACAGAAATGCCACGGTCATCTCCTCATTGGTATACAGACTGGGGGCGGACATGTCCACTGCCCCCAGCTGCCCAGCTGAGGTGTGGGGAGCAGCAGGAAGGCCAGGCCCAGTGGGGATTGCCTCCCAGGCCAAGAACATGTTGCAGGAAATCTGTCTCTAGCTGGCAGAGGAGGGCCCAAGCCCAGCAGGTGTTTCTGGGTCTCTGGCCATAGTTGATGGTTTGCTGCACAACCACCTCGGGGCAGCCTCAGAGATGCAAATTAAAACACCTTCAAGGTTCCAGTCACACAGTTGTGAGGACTAAGGAAAGCACCCCAAAGTAGGTGAAAATGATAAAACCCAGTGCTGTTGATGCTCTGATTAAATGTGACATATTGCAAGGGAGAGTGTAAGGAGGCTTATTTTTCCAGAGAGCAGCCTGGCAGCTCGGCAGCAGTGTGCTGCCTTTGAACCAAAACACACACTTCAGAGGGGGCAGTGCCTTGGAGCTTCATGCTGCCTCCTCTCCACGTAGCACTCTGCATTCACATCCTGACCTGGGATGAGTGGTAGCAACAAGTTGGGACAGAGCCAGGCTGGCCTCAGGGCTCACTCCTGCCCCTGGCAGGTGGGGCTGGGGGCTGTGGGCTTGGGGGGTTGGCAGGCCTGGGTGTAGGTCTGAGGTTCTTCACTTGGCAGTTGGAGGACCTGGGGCACATGGCCTAATAACCCTCTGAGCCTTAGTGGCCTCATCTAGTTAGAGGGCTCATATTCAGGTTCCCCTCGGGCCATCCCATTCCAGGAAGAGCGGGCACCCGCCACGTCCCTGGGCAGCCCCACACACACAAAGGCAGACTGTGCCCCCGCTGCACACATGATCGGCTGAGGACATGCGAACCTGCCAACCGTGCTTCTTGGGAGGTTCCAGGAGATGCTGGTGGGAGCAGCGGGGCTGGCTGGCAGGGTGCAAGCCCGCTCCCCACCGCTGCCCTGTGCCCTCCCTTGCGCAGCTAGAGGTGGAGCGGTGCTGTTGCTTTGTGCTGTCTGCTGCAGACTTTGTGACCTGCTCACAAATCCCTTTTCTGCCCATTCCCTGAGAATTGGTGTTCTTAGCTCAGGAGACAGATGAACGTGGGTTGGAATTCCAGCTTTGGGCTGTCTCCTTGACCCCCTTTACTCTTGACCCCCTCTTCTGCAGTCACACCAGCCTCTTCTTTGTCTTGACAGTGCACCAAGCTTGCTCCCACCTCAGGGCCTTTGCACTTGCTGTTCCTACTGCCCATGACATCCTTCCTTCCTCCTGGCCCACTCCCTCCTTTCATTCAAGCCTCTACTCAGATGTCCCCTCCACAGAGAGGCCTGCCCTGATCCCCTCTGTTTCTTCACGATGCTCATCACCTGCACCCCCTTCCTCCACGGATTAGTAGATGGTTGGCCTCCCTCACTGGAACAGAAGCTCCACTAGGGGGTCTTCATGGTCTGTTCCTGCACCCCCAGCACCTGGAACTGGCCTAACATTTAGGAGAGGACAGTAGATATTGTCAGAGAAACAGATCTGAGCTTCGTGGGCCAGGCCATATGGGAAAGGTGGTGAGCTCCCTGTCCCAGGAGGCATGTAAGAAGAGTTTGGGGTGCAAGGCCTTGTGTCAGCTGGATGGTTCATAGGCTCCTGTGATAGTTAGAGCTGGGCTCCTGTGGGTGGGCACTGTGGGGGTCCCCTGAGGATTTCTGTCATGGCCTCACAGGATAAACAGGCCCGAGAATAAAAGGCCCATATCTGCCTTCAGAGGGAGGTTTGAAGGTTGAGCCAGGGAAGGGGGAGAGGGTTTCAGGTTTCCTGTTAGGCCCTGATAGAATGAGGGCAGGAGGGGAAAAGATGAAGGTAGGCTTGGGGAGGGGCAGATCGGTGCCCTAAGACTGAGCCCACACTTCCCCTCTCCCCATAGAGTGGGTGCAGGAGCCACGCGGGCTTTGAGTCTTAGGTCACGCGAGTGCTTACTTCACCAGCGGAGGGGCCCCACTGTGGGAGCCCTGGCCAGCCTTTCAGACCCACTGGAGTGGAAGGAGCTTCCTTAAACTGTGCACCCTGGGGGGGCCCTTTCTTGCCTCCTAGAATCCCCTGCTCCAAGGCCAGAGGTGAAGGCTCAGAGAAGGAGAGTGACTTGCCTGGGACTGCACAGCAAGTGAAAGGTGGAGGGAAGTTCTGGCACCCAGATCTGGCTTTAGGAGAGTGAGAGGGGGCCCGTCAGACCATGAGTTCAGGGGGTGGTGGCCCCTCGACACGCCACCAAATGCCTGCTTCTCACTGCATCTTTGTTAGATCGTGTCCCTGAGGCCAGCCTTCCTCTTGGCAGCTGTTCCTGACCCTATCAGCCGTGGGCCTCCCCCTTCTTGGTCCTTGGTCTGGATGGGACAAAGCCAAGACATGTGAAATGGGAAACAAAGGGGGAAGAGTGCATGAGACAGGGAGAGGGACGGTCAGGAGCAGGTAGGCTTGACGCTAGGTGGCCCTGGCCCTGCAGGGGCTCAGGTGTGGGTCAGCCCTGGAATCCAGGCCTCAGTGTCTCCCAGTCTCAAGGTACTCAGGTGAGGTAGGAGCCTTGCCAACACCAATGTCTTGATTTGGGGGGCTTAGGGAGGGTGTGAGCACCCACCAGCTGAGGAGGGAGGGAGGTGGAGAATTCAGTTGCCCCTGGCACCCGCTGCAAGGCCATGGAAGGACCCAGACAAAGAAAGGTGGATATGTGAGGGAGAGGAGCCTCCTGGAGAGTGAGAGCCATCTGGGCCAGGGCGTCTCTGCCCCCAACACCCTCTGAGGCTGCAGGACACCAAGAAAGGGTTGCAGGTGGGCTTGGCCGCTGTTGGAGGCTGGCCTAAGCCTGGGGTCCACTTGGCCACAAAAGCTGGAGCTGGCAACCTGGGCTGCTGGCCAGGTTCTGTTCATTTGTGTAGAACTCGAACCTTACGCAGAAGGGGAGAGGGCCTGGGCACCCCTCCAGAGACCCCCAGAGCCTGTCACCCCAGGACTTCCTCACCTTCTGTCCCAGGGACTGGGCTGCCTGTTGGCCTCCCCAGACCCTGCAGTGAGTAAGTGAGTCAGGTTCACCCCGAGACTGCTAGGGGTGGGGGTCACTGACTCCGTCCCAGATCCAGGCCCCTCTGCAAAGGGATGCCTGTGTGGGGCTTCAGCTCGGGCTCAGCTGTTACTGGCCATCACTCTGGGGTATGGGTTCCCTTCCTCAGTTTCTCTGGGAAGTGACTATTGCCAGGGGTCCCTGTGGCGGGGTGTGGCCCATGCTGGGGCGGCCCAGGAAGGGGAGGTCCCCACACCCACTGCCTGGCGGCCCTTGGCCTCACTTAAGCACTGCACCCAGTAACACTTTTACTTGTCCCCGTCAGAGCCGGAATCGTGCTCGTCCCATTTTCCAAGAGCGAACTGAGGCTGAGCGTGGTCGAGACCGGCTCAGGGTGTCAGAGAGCCAGAGACCTAGCTGCGGAGTTGGGGCACCCCTAGCCAGCCCCTCGTTCCGCCGCTCTTCTTTGACTTGACCGCCAGTAACCCCTGCAGACGTCGGCGCCTAGTGGGTTAAGGGCCGGCGTCCGCTAGTAACCCCGGCCCCCATGCGGCGCCTCGGGGCGCAACCCGAGCCTCGCGCCGTGGGGGTGGGGCGGGGCCAGGGCGGGGCCACAGGAGGCGGTGGCGCGGCTGCTGATTGGCCGCGCGCGCTCACCCCATGCCCGGCCCGCGGCTACATAGGGCGGGGCTGGCCGGCTGTGCCCGGGGAGGGGGCGGGGCCGGTGGGTAGCTCTGTCGCTCGGCGGCTTTAAAGTGCTCCGGCCCCGCTGGTGGTCTCTGCTCAGAGACCGGCAGGCCAGCCGCTTGGACGCCCTGAGGGGAGACGGGCCCGGGCCGCGAAACCATGGACTGCACTTTCGAAGGTATTTTTTTGAGGTCTCCACCCCTTTATTATAGAACTTTCATCTCCTCAGTGGGGTTCCATCCTCGGTGCTCTGAGGAGAGGTGTACACGCTCCCTGCTCTAAGAGGAGTAGGCACCCCACACCCACGTCCCGAGTAAGGGGGTGGCTTTCCCACATCTGCTCCGCAGGGAGGAGGACCGCTTTTCCTTCTGTCTCCTGGGGCTCCCTTTTGGGGGGCACCTTGGGCTTGACAGACAGTGGGAGCCCTGGGTTCAGCCAATTTCCTCTCTCAGCCTCAGTTTCCCCAACTATCAAAGGGGCTTGTGAAGCCTGGGGTAGGGGGACCTGCGGGAGGAAGCACTCTCTCTGTGCACTATGACCTGTGCAGACCTGGAGGGCCTGCCAAGTGTTTTGTGTTTGAGGACAGGAGGGCTGAGCCTGGCACCCCCCACCCCCCAACCCCATCCTCCGTTGTGCTCTCCTGGCAGCCTGGGTCGTCCCCTGCAGTCACTTTCCTGCCTGGCACCTGTCAGTAGGAGGGACTCAGGTGACCTTGAGGCCCCCCTCCGTGCAGCTGTCTGTCACAAAGTGTTTTGTCTGTCCTGTACAGATGGGGAGACTAAGGCCCAGTGAGAAGACACTTTCACCGGAAGTCCAGACTGGGGGTCTAGGGGACACCTGGGGCTCCCAGGGTTTGCTCATGGGTCCTGCAGAGCACTCTGACCCAGTGGATGACTCCCTCGGGTTAGAGGGCCCTGGACTGACCCAGCCAGGCTGCTGGTTGCCAGCTGGGGGAGAGGGCTTGCGGCCAGTTTGGGCTGCCGTGGGCCGTGTGTCCAGTCTGTACGAGGAGGAGAGTCAGGACAGGCAGCGTTGGCTTTCATTGAGGGTAGGCTGAAGCCTGAATGGCCGGTCCCGAGGCTGCTTGGCTGCAAACAGGGCCTGGGTTTGTGCCCAGAACATTCAGGGACACACTGGTTGGCACACATATGGTTGGCACATATATGGCCGGCAGTTGACTCTGCCCCAAGTCTCAGTCTATTGCACAGAGAAATGGGTTGGCGAAGGCAGTTCTTGAGCAGTTGTGGGCCTCTGCTTCAGGGGCCGCTGGCATTGTCCAGTGTCGCTGTTGATGCACTGGGCAAAGCTCCAGATGTCCCAGGTGTCTGTGAGTGTGGGCTCCTGGGGGTGGCTTTTTGTTTCTGTGGCTTTGCTCCCACGTGTACACTGTGTGTACATGGAGGGCGTGAAGACACACAACACCTGCTCCACTGCTGCTCACAGCTTTTCCTCCTCCCCGCAGACATGCTTCAGCTCATCAACAACCAAGACAGCGACTTCCCGGGCCTGTTCGACCCGCCCTATGCTGGGGGCGGAGCCGGGACCACAGACCCCTCCAGTCCCGATGCCAGCTCCCCAGGCAGCCTGTCCCCACCTCCTTCCACGATGAGCTCCTCACTTGAAGGCTTCCTGGGGGCGACCAAGGCGACACCCCCACCCTTGTCCCCTCCCCAGCCTGCACCCACCCCCCTGAAGATGTACCCATCTGTGCCTGCCTTCTCCCCGGGGCCTGGGATCAAAGAGGAGCCAGTGCCCCTGACCATCCTCCAGCCCACCACCTCCCAGCCCCTGCCCGGGGCTCTCCTGCCACAGAGCGTTGCGGCCACCACCCCACCGCAGTTCAGCTCTGCCCCGCTTGTGGGTTACCCCAGCCCTCCGGGAGGCTTCTCCACAGGTAAGGAGGACATGTGGAGGTGGGGATCAGGTGCTCTTGGTAGAGGAGTTTGCAGGCTTTAGCAGTCGGGCCCCTCCTCTGTGGCTGGAGGCGCCTGCTCACCAGCAGTTCTTGGGCTCCTGTGGATGAAGCACTGCCTGCACTGCCCAGGGTCCACACCAGCTACCTTTCTGCAGAGCGGTTCTTGACTGGGAGGCTGGCATACTTGCATCAGAGCCCTGGGCAGAGCCATCCAGATAGGAACCGCGGCCACAGGGGTAGTGACTCATCCCAGGTCACATGGTGATGAGGATCTGGGGGACAGGTTGGAAGTGGGTTGTGACAGCCCATGTCCTCAGCCCCAGCCTTCATCTCTGCAGGGACCCCTCCGGGGAACAGCTTGCAGTCACTGCCTGGCCTGCCACTGGCTTCCCTGCCAGGGGTCCCGCCCATCTCCTTGCACAGCCAGGTTCAGAGTGCGGCCCCCCAGCAGCTGTTGACAGCCACAGCCACCCCCACAGTGGCCCCTGGAGCAACCGCTGTGACCTCCCAGATACAGCAGGTCCCGGTGAGGCGGTCTGGCTGGCATCAGGGAGGTGGCGGCCCGGGGCCTAGACCCATAGCCCATGGCTGAGGCCCCTCCTGTCCTTAGGTCCTGCTGCAGCCCCACTTCATCAAGGCAGACTCGTTGCTTCTGACGACTGTGAAAACAGACGTGGGAGCCCCCTTGAAAACACCGGGCATCCGCTCCCTGGGCCCTGGCACTGCCGTGCAAGCAGCGCCCTTGCAGGTAGGGGGCTCAGGCGGGGTGGGGAGGTTGGCTTGGGCGGGGTGGGGGGGGTGGGGTTGGCTCAAGTGCATGTCCACCTGCTAACTGTGCCTGGCCCTGCAGACCCTGGTGAGTGGTGGAGCCATCCTGGCCACAGTGCCGCTGGTAGTGGACACTGACAAGCTGCCCATCAACCGACTTGCCGGTGGTAAGGCTCCAGGCTCGGCACAAAGCCGTGGTGAGAAGCGTACAGCCCACAATGCCATCGAGAAACGCTACCGCTCTTCCATCAACGACAAGATTGTTGAGCTCAAGGACCTGGTGGTGGGCACTGAGGCCAAGGTGTGGGCTGAGGCCCTAACAGGGCGGCTCTGGGGAAGGAGGCACCTGGGAGGAAGAGGAGGATGGGGCTCGGCAGACAGTTCTGGGGCCCCAGCCTCCTTGGGCCTGGCGGCTCTGTTCAGCTGAGCTTCAGGGAAGCCCCGGATAGCACAGGCTCTTCCAGGTGCTGGGGATTCAGCAGAGAACAGACAGAGATCCTGCTGTTGAGGAGCTGACATTCTAGCAGGGTGTGGGGGCGCTGGGTTGGGGTGTGCCAGGTGGCATAACTGCTGTGCTGGAGAGAAGAGGGATTGGGGGAAGTTGCAAACCTGAATTGGGTGGTCAGGGAAGGCCTCACAAAGATGATGCGATGTGTGAACAGAGACCTGGAGGAGATGAGAGGGTGAGGCATAAAGGTGCAATGATGTTGACAGCAGTCAGCCAGGTGCTGTTGTCTGTATGTTACTTACCTGGGCGGCAAGTTCTAGGGGAGGAATGTTCCAGGGAGTAGGAATAGCAGATGCAGATCTCCTGAGGTGGTTGTGTTGCAAAGCAGCCCTGCCTCCTCGCTTCAGTGCCCAGCTCTCTGGCCTGACGCCTTGTGCCATCTCCCTCCACCCCACCCCTGCAGCTGAATAAATCTGCCGTCTTGCGCAAGGCCATCGACTATATCCGCTTCCTTCAGCACAGCAACCGGAAGCTCAAGCAGGAGAACCTGAGTCTGCGCACTGCTGTCCACAAAAGCAGTGAGTTCTGGCCCCCTCCACGCCTGGTCTCCCTTGAAGTTCTTGCCCTGCAAGGGCCCTTCAACCTCTCTCTGGCCCTCCCTGGCCTGCAGCTCCACCAGGTCCTGAGCTCTGATTTGGGGTGAGGTGGGGTGTGGAGCTGTCACTGCAGCCTGCTCCTCTCTGGCCCACAGAATCACTGAAGGACCTGGTGTCGGCCTGCAGCAGTGGAGGTAGCACAGACGTGCCCATGGAGGGCATGAAACCAGACGTGGTGGACACCCTGAGCCCGCCCCCCTCAGACGCTGGCTCGCCCTCCCAGAGCAGCCCCTTGTCCCTTGGCAGCAGGGGCAGTAGCAGCGGTGGAAGTGGCAGTGACTCGGAGCCTGACAGCCCGGTCTTTGAGGACGGCCAGGTGGGGCCTGCAGTGTTGTTCCCTTCTTGTCATCTAGCAACTTCCTCTGAGCCCCAGGATTGGGTCAGGCCCCTCATACATCCCACCTCCCCTTTTATAGACAGACGACAGATGGGGCTGAGAGTTTCCCACAGTAAGGCAGGGGGCAGAGTTGACCCCTCCTTTCCAGAGCCATGCTCTCTGGGTCACGCCGTCCTGTTCTCACCACTCTGCCCGCCCCCCCAGGTGAAGCCAGAGCCGCTGCCTGCCCCCCACAGCCAGGGCATGCTGGACCGCTCTCGCCTGGCCCTGTGTGCGCTCGTCTTCCTCTGTCTCTCCTGCAACCCCTTGGCCTCCCTGCTGGGCAGCCGGGGTCCTGCTGGCCCCTCCGACACCACCAGCATCAACCACCATCCCGGGCGCAGCATGCTGGGTGCTGAGGGCAGAGGTAGGGTGGTAGGAGGGGAGCTCTCGCAGATGTGGATCCTGTCCTGTGGGCTTGGGGCTCTGGATTTCCTGGGTGCCCAGCCTCTGTGTCCCCAGCCTCTGTCTGCCCCCAGATGGCCCTGGCTGGGCCCCATGGCTGCTGCCCCCATTGGTCTGGCTGATGAATGGGCTGCTGGTGCTTCTCTCCTTGGCGCTTCTCTTTGTCTACGGAGAACCAGTCACTCGGCCCCACTCACGCCCTGCCGTGCACTTCTGGAGGCATCGCAAGCAGGCCGACCTGGACCTAGCCCGGGTAAGCGGCCAGACCCTGGGGGATGGGAGCAGGCAGGGCCAAGATGCTGAGCAGTGCCTGGGAAGGTGCTGGGCATACCGTGGACCTCCCCTGTTTTCCCCACTTCTGTCTACCCCTCCGACTCCTGTGGACCTCTGGGGGCCCAGCCTGTGCTGCTGGGGATGGTGTGGTCCTTGTGGGGGGCCCAAGGTGGGGGAGTAGCGCAGCCCTACATTTCTCACCTGAAAACCCCTCTCCCCCAGGGGGACTTTGCCCAGGCTGCCCAGCAGCTGTGGCTGGCCCTGCGGGCCTTGGGCCGGCCTCTGCCCACCTCCCACCTGGACCTGGCCTGCAGCCTGCTCTGGAGCCTCATCCGCCACCTACTGCAGCGTCTCTGGGTGGGCCGCTGGCTGGCCGGCTGGGCAGGGGGCCTACGAAGGGACAGGGCCCTACAGGCAGACGCTCGCACCAGCGCCCGTGACGCGGCCCTCGTCTACCACAAGCTGCACCAGCTGCACACTATGGGTATGCAGGCGAGGGCTGGGCCCCTGGGGTCCTGATGCCTCTGCACCACCCTTGGCCTCATGCCCTCTTATCTTCCAGGGAAGTACTCAGGTGGGCACCTCGCTGCTGCCAACCTGGCGCTGAGTGCCCTGAACCTGGCTGAGTGCGCAGGAGACGCCGTGTCTGTAGCCACGCTGGCTGAGATCTATGTGGCCGCTGCACTCAGGGTCAAGGCCAGTCTGCCCCGGGTCTTGCATTTTCTGACAGTGAGTAGGTGGTAACCAGTGGGGGCTCTTTGGTTGGTTGAGGGCTGCACAGAAAGGCATGTGGTTATGGGGGCGGCTGTGGGCCCGCTGGGGTCTCAGCCAGGGCTCAGTGTGATGGCCCGTTCCCTCCTCAACAGCGCTTCTTCCTGAGCAGTGCCCGCCAGGCCTGCCTAGCACAGAGCGGCTCAGTGCCCCTTGCCATGCAGTGGCTCTGCCACCCTGTGGGCCACCGTTTCTTCGTGGATGGCAGCTGGGCCCTGTGCAGCGCCCCAAGGGACAGCTTGTACAGCGTGGCTGGGAACCCAGGTGCCTTCTCACCCTGGGCCCGTCCCTGGGCCCACCCCTTTCCCCACAGCTGGCCGCCTCCTCCGTCCCCTGTTCCCATTCCCTTGTCTCCTGCCTCTCTGCTGTCCCTGCCCACCCTGGCCTGCTGCCCCGCCATCTGGTGTGGCTATGGGGATGTGTAGACGGGGAGGCCAGCCTGGCTCTGTCTCCGCTGGGGCTCTTCAGAGGCAAACAGGAAGACGGGGCGGGGGGCCAGGGGGTGGGCATCATCGGGAGGTGCTACAGACAACATCACCATGCAGTGAGGAGGTCAGGAAAGGGAGTGCATCCCAGGTGGGTCATCCTGTCCACGGGTGGGCGGAGTGTTTATCCACCAGCTTTCACTTGTCTCAGAGCCAGGCCCACCCGTGCCCAAAAAAGATCCGTAGTGCAGGGAGGTGCGTGTGCACAGGAGGGGTGGGGCCATTCTCACCCTTCCACTTGCCCACTCTTCTCCACAGTGGATCCCCTGGCCCAGGTGACTCAACTGTTCCGTGAACATCTCTTGGAGCGAGCACTGAATTGTGTGGCCCAGCCCAGCCCCAGCCCTGGATCAGCTGAGGGGGACAAGTGAGTGTCTCCGTGCGCCTCAGCAGACCAGAGTGCCCTACCCAGTGGAGCCTGGGAGAGGCTGTGTCCAGGGACCCTGTGGGTGGCCAGAGCCGGGCCACTGTGGCTTTAGGTGCATTTCGGTTCCTCTCTGGGCCTCAGTTTCCCACCAGTCCAGCAGGAGGGGATGGAGGCTCTTGGAGGAGCCAGGATGCCAGGCTGTGCTGTGTGCAGAGGTGAGGACCCCTGCCAGCCATCCTGACCGCCTGTCCTCTCCTGCCACAGGGAGTTCTCAGATGCCCTGGGGTACCTGCAGCTGCTGAACAGCTGTTCGGATGTGGCCGGGGCTCCTGCCTGCAGCTTCTCCATCAGCTCCAGCATGGCTGCCACCCCCGGTGAGCCCCCCGGCCTTCCCACCTGTGATGCCCTCAGTCCCAGCGCCAAGCAGCTCCGCCTCGGGTACAGTGTGACTGAGTTTCTGCCCCCTGTGCCCCCTCTGCAGGCACAGACCCGGTGGCCAAGTGGTGGGCCTCTTTGACAGCTGTGGTGACCCACTGGCTTCGGCGGGATGAGGAGGCAGCCGAAAGGCTGTACCCGCTGGTGGAGCACCTGCCCCGTGCCCTGCAGGAGTCCGAGTGAGCACAGGCTGCATGCTCGTGCCCCACCCCCAACCCTGCCCCCAGCTTTGTTCTATGTCCTTGGGGTCCCGCCATGCTCTTCCCATGAAGCCAGAACCAGGGCAGAGGGAGGTCCGGCCATGACACCTCTGCCTTGGCCCCAACAGGAAACCCCTGCCCAGGGCAGCTCTGCACTCCTTCAAGGCTGCCCGGGCCATCCTAGGCCGCGGGAAGGCTGAGTCTGGCCCAGCCAGCCTGGCAATGTGTGAGAAGGCCAGTGGGTACCTACAGGATAGCTTGGCCACCACACCAGCTGACAGCTCCATTGACAAGGTAAGGGCTGGGGCCGGGGGCCTGGCCCGTCTCAGGGGCCTTGGCCTTTCCACTCCCTGCATGGTCCCCCTTGGGCTGCAGAAGACTGCAGGGTCAGCCCAACAGCACAGGATGGGGTCACAGCCGGCCTTGCCTTCTGGCTAAGGCTTGGGTCCAGGAGAGAGTGGCTAATCCCTCTGGCCTCAGTGTCACCCCCCCCAGGAGGTGGGTGGGGTGAACATGTGGCAGAGCCCTCCTTGGAGGCTGCCGTGCAGGCCGGAGGGGGCATGGGGGCCTGGAGAGCGGGCGGCCCCGCGGTGCATTGTTGTTGCATTGCATGTGTGAGGCAGGTGCAGTGCCTCGGCAGTGCAGCCCGGAGCCGGCCCCTGGCACCGTGGGCCCCCAGCCTCCTCTCCCAGAGCCAGAGGCCCTGACCCCTGCCCTGCCCTACCCACCACCCCTAGGCCATGCAGCTGCTCCTGTGTGACCTGCTCCTTGTGGCACGCACCAGCCTCTGGCAGCGGCAGAAGCTGCCGGCACCCACCCAGGCCTCTCAGGGCCCTGGAGGCGGGGCCCAGGCCTCTGCCCTTGAGCTTCGTGGTTTCCAGAGGGACCTGAGTGGCCTGAGGCGTCTGGCACAGAATGTCCGGCCTGCCATGCGGAGGGTGAGTGCCCACGGGGCCCTGACTTGCAATAGGGGCAGACATGAGGTGTCTGAAGGGAGTGGGGGCCTGACCTGAACCTCTCCTGGCCCCTCCTGCCCAGGTGTTCCTACATGAAGCCACTGCCCGACTGATGGCAGGGGCCAGCCCGGCGCGGACACACCAGCTCCTGGATCGCAGCCTGAGGAGGAGGGTCGGCCCCTGCAAAGGAGGTGAGAAGCTGGCTGGCCCAGGTGGGAAGGGTCGCAGTCCAGGTGAAGGCTGCAGAGGGAGACCGTAAGACACAGGAGCCTCGGGACTTCAAGGTGGCCCCCGACGGGAGCCCTAACCTGAGACTCGGGGGACGACTGTCCTTTGTGGAGCACTTGCTCTGTGCTCCAGGGGAAGGTGCGGAAGGGACCTGCTGCATGGCAGCCCGGCAGTCCAAGACCAAAGGCGTGGGGGCGCACGCAGGACCGGGCGGCAGGGGCAGAGCCAGGGTCCGTGCCCCACCCCCGGCGCGGCCCCGCCCCTGACGTGCTTCCGTGCGCGTGCGCAGGCGCGGCGGCGGAGCTGGAGTCGCGGCCCACGAGGCGGGAGCAGGCGGAGGTTTTGCTGCTGGCCTCCTGCTACCTGCCTCCCGGCTTCCTGTCGGCTCCCGGGCAGCGCGTGGGCATGCTGGCCGAGGCGGCGCGCACTCTCGAGAAGCTCGGTGACCGCCGGCTGCTGCACGACTGTCAGCAGATGCTCATGCGCCTGGGCGGCGGGACCACTGTGACCTCCAGCTAGACTTCTGCCGGCGGGCCTGCCCCAGAGCCGGGTCTCCGTCTCAGCGGCCGAGGGCAGCGCCGGAGATCCGGGGCTCACGCCCAGTCCACGGACTGCATGGCCCCTGGGGGGCTGGAGACCCTCGGAGAGGTCTGCTCTTGACCTGCAGGCCTCCCCAGCCCGCTCCCGCACTCGGCGCGCGGTGGCCAGGATAGTGCTGGCCCCTTGTGGCCGGTTGGGGGATTGCCGGGGCCTGCGGCCGCCGCCACCACCGCCGGATGTCATGTGCTCCCAGTGACACCCGCTCCTGGGTGTCAAGGGACCCCAGTCCGCAGCTTTCCCCCTCCCTCCAGAGACAAGAGAGGGGTGCATTTCACCGAGCCGAGGGACCCTACCCCCGGTGCTTTCCTCCCATCTGGGGAGACCTGTGCATAGTGTAGATCGGAGTGCACCAGCCTCCTGGCCTCCAAGGCTCAAGCGTTACTTTGCCTTTTGCAGACTTTATTTTCATAGGTGGAGAAGTTTTGTACAGAGAATAAAAAATGAAATTATTTATAATCTGGCTTTTGCTCCTTTCGGGAGAGGCTAACCAGAGTGGATTCTTTGGGCCTTCCATCCCCCTAGCACCCAGGCAAAGGCTTCCTGGTCCCACCTGCCCTTCTGTGTTTGGGAAGCCTGGCTTTATTCCCTCCAACTGACCTGGGCCCTGGCACTCTCGCTCATCTCCTAACCCTTAGGGCCCTTGTGGTCTCAGCTTTTCCTTCTTGCTTCCCCTCCCAGCTTCTGCCCTCTTCAGTACCCGGAATGACATGTCCTTGGGAATCTGTGGTGACAGGAGGAACTACAACCTAGATCTCCCTGTGTGTCTGGGTGTGTCACCTGCCTGACCCCTGTCCCCTCATATGAGGCCACGCAGCTGTGGCAGGGCAGCAGGGGCTTCTCTCCCTGACTGCTCATTACTGTCCCAGAGCCCTCCCCTAAAGCCTGGACCCTCTCCCGGCAGAATCTGGTCAGAATCCACGGGCTGCAGAATTCCAAAACAATCGTTGTATCTTTATTGACTTTTTTTTTCTGAATGCAATGACTGTTTTTTTTTTTTTTTACTCTTAAGGAAAATAAACATCTTTTAGAAACAGCTCGATACACACAATCTTCAGTGTGAAGCAATATACTAATAAGAACACTAGTCGTCTTAACATTTACAGTCTTCATATATATTATATATATGTATATGTATACATATATATACACTATATAACGAGGCTGGATATAATACACACGTTCACCATTTTACAGTCATATGTACAGAAGTTGCTAGGGCGGCCCCAGGGTGGGGCTGCGTCAGGCCTATCGAAGCGTGGACAGAGCTGAGGACACGGACAGACAGGCAGACGAACTGGTGGGCACTGGCCCGGGGCGGTGGTGGCTGCATGGGGAAGGAGGCAGCGCTGGAGCCACCTTCCCAGCAAGGGCCCCGTGCTAAGGGGCGCACGACGCACAGTGGCGACAAACGGAGAAGCGAGCATGTTCCCAACATATATACATTCTATGTGACATATATATAGAGGGGCACACAGGTGTGTACATGGATCTAGCGCTGTCTCCGCTCCCGTGCGAGTGGCGCTGTGGCCCCTGGAGACGGTGGTCGTGCGGAGGGTTGGTCACGCGTCTGCTGGGGATCGAGACTCCTTCTGCGCTCCCAGGCTGGGCTCCAGGGATGGGGTGGGCTGGAAGGGGGACGGGCAGAAGCCAGTGGGGGCAGGTCTGCCCACGCCCAGGAAGGTCAGATCCCTCGAGCACAGGCCCCAGATGCTCGGCCCTCCAGACCTTCACGCAGGTTTTGGCCGAGGCTGGGCAGTTAGGGTGCACAGCTTCCAGCCCCTCCTTTGCCGGGCAGGACTTGCCAATCCCCCTATCCCTACCCACCCCCAGGGTGTCCGGCTGCGGGCCACGACCGACCCACGTGGAATGTGTACCACGTCATCCTGGAACTTTCAGGGAGAAGTGTGTCCCCAGGCTACAGGCCTCCCAGCCCCGCCAGAGTCCGGGTGTCCCATGGGGTCTGGCCGCTCCGCGGGCTAACCCCTCTCCAAGCCTGGCCGGGGGATGGGGGCGAGAAGGCCCTGTGCCGTCCGGTGCCAGGAGCAGACGGATCCAGAACGTGTTTTCTACCCAACCGGGGACCACTAGCTTCCGCCCGAGGCGGCCAGATCCAAGGTTTGGGTTCCGGATCAGGGATCCGCTCAGGACCGCTCAGGACCCGCGCCGGAAGCAGCGCAAAGGCCCGGGGGCTACGCCTGCGGCTCCTCTCCTCGGCGGGCGGGCTGGCTCCGGCGGCTCCTCCGGCCGGGAGTGGATTACAACGGCAGCCTCTGAGGGAAAGAGACACGAGGCGCGCTGCCTACGGCGGTGTACGTGCCAAGGGGTCAACCCCTCCGAACCCGCCCCGGATCCGCAGTGAGAGAGAAGAAGCCCCGCCTGCAGCTCGGCCTGGAGGTTGGCCTCCGCGCCCCGCCCCCGGGCTGGGCCCGCCCCCGGCGTGCGCGGGAGTTTAGGTGGCCCGGGGACCTCGCGTGCGCACCCGCCACTGTCAGGTCTGCCTGGAGCCGATGGGCCTGCGGCGGGGTATGGTCTCCTGCCTGGGCCCCTCCAAGGGGGGCTCGCGGTCACTCACCTTATGTTTGGGGCATTTCAAAGAAAAGTTCTCTTCAATGAATATACAACCTATGAGCAAACAGAAGTTCGCGCGGTAAGAATCGGCGTCGTGTGTGGCCGGGAGGGGGGCGCCCACCGCCCTGGACGCCCCCGGTTGCAGGTTTTTTTTCAGAGTAAGTCAAACTCTGCCTGCCCTCCAGCCCCGCTGGCTTGCCTGTCCTTTACTCTCTCCTCCCCCTGGAACCCCCTCTCGTCATAGGGAGGCCTCCCCTAACTCTCCAGCCTGTCCCCCTGCAAACAGCCAAGCCAATCCAACAGCACATCCCTTCTGCCCCGCCCTGGCCGGCACTGGGGGTGGCCCTGCTGGAGGCAGATGGGGCGGGAGCAGAGCTGGGAAGGCTCCAGACCTCGTCTGGGTCCAGCAGCCTCAGCTGAGCTGCTAGCTGACCACAGCCACCTGGGTGGGCTCTGCCCGCCAACCCCTATGTGCCTCCCTGAGACTTAGTAATGCAGCTAGTACAGCGCGGCACAGCCTGCCCTGCCTCAGGCCTGCTCCCTGCCTGGGGACACTGGCCACCTCCCTCACCCAGTACGGCAGCCCCTGCTTTCTGTGCCAAAGCCTCTGGGGCTCCCAGGGCGGTGGGAGTGGGGAGGGTCCTGGCAGGGGAGGCCTCTGCTCTGTCGTGTGGCAAGGTTTTCATACCCTCACCCCCTTCCAGGGCAGCAGGGGGCGGGGGACAGAGGTCCCGGGCCCTCCCTGAACTGAACCAGTGCTGCCCTCTCTGGGTCGTGTGCATGGCCTCACTGCCTGCCCCAGAGAGCTGCAGAAAGAAATGACTCTCCCCTCTGCTTCACAGATGGGGCCCTGACTGTAGAGGCGTGGAGGGATGCACCCAGGCCACGCGTGAAGGATGCCACCAGGATCAGGGGCTCCAGGCTCTCTGGCCCAGGCAGTCTGTGTGTGCCTGGCAACAGTAGGTACTCAATAAATGCCCACAGAACAGATGAGTGAGCAGAAAGAACAGGGCAGGTGCAGGGAGCCTGGCATGGCCCTGCTTCCCCCTTCCACAGCTTCTGTTTTGAATCTCCTCTCCTTCCATCCCACTCAGTTTTTGTCACTGAACTGTATCTCTTCCTTTTTTTTCCCCAACTCAGTGAACCCCTATTCAGACTTCAAAGGCCCAGCCCGGTAGCCCTGCTCTTTGAGGCCTGAGATCCTCCCCAGCTCTAGGTACCCCTTGGTGACAGCAGCTCACATACAGCTTTCAACCTTGTAGTCTGTGCTTCTCCAGCAGGTGGGCTGAGGAATGACGTGTCTCGCCAGCATTGCCCAGCAGAGGGCCTGGCTGAGAGACACCAGAAGATAAAGAACTGCTGGGGCAGAAGAGGGAAGCGGGGGGCGGGGGNGGGGGGGGGGGGGGTGTCGAGTGGGGCTGGTTCAAGGAGCTGTGCCCGCATCCCCCAACCTCCTGTCTGCTAGGGCTGACTTACCCGCATCGCTGGCACACGGGTAATGGTAGGTGTGGAGGCATCCTTTGTGGCAGCACCCTATGGTGGCCCCCGCTTCTTGGCAGCTGGAACAAGTCTGGCAAAGAGAGAGGGAAGACAGGTGAGTCTGCCGCTGAGGGGCCCGGGAGGCCCCCACCCCTTTCTCCGAACAGGCCCTCGAAAGGCAGCTGTGGGGCAGCTCAGGATGGTTATCAGCACCTTGGGTGGGGAGCTCTCCGGGTGGGTGGGAGACCTCGTGCATAACCATAGGGGTCTCTGCGTCCAGCAGATGTGGGCGAGTGATGGCTTGGCCACCATGTGCTGCGTGACGTCAGCCGAGCACCATGGCTCTTCCCACCTGCTGTGGGAACAGTGGGGACGGCTCCTGCCTTACGGGATGGTCTCAAAGACTGAAGGAGTGACCCTGGGGGCCCAGTGGGTGACAGGAACTTACGAGGCCAGTCACCACCTGGCCGTGCCCTTGCCTGCCAACTCTTCCCCACAGCCTCCAAGTGGGCTGCTCTCATGGGCCTACTCTACAGTGAAGTTGGGGCTCCCTCCCACTCCAGGAAAGGTGGTGAGCATTGTTTCTCGCCCTTTCTGGTGGCAGAAGCAGCACTGAAGCAAGTCAGAGGCCCCACCCTGAGGGGCCATTCACCACCCCCTGCCAGGACTTGGGAGGGGGTAACACAGCTGGTGCCCGGATACGGGGTGCATGTGAACCCCAGGCCAGCCAGCAAGGCAGCTGGGCCACTCTGGGTCTCAGAAATGGGTCTGCTGAGCTTGAGGGCTGCCTGCAGGGGGACCAGCTGGGAGAGGATGGTGATGCTAAGACCACCCTTGGAAGAGCAAAGCAAAACCTGAGGCCTGGGGAGGGACAGACCCCAGATCCCGCAGACCCCGGACCTCCACTGCAGCAGAGGCCTGAGATGGGGGAGGGGAGCAGAGAAGGGAGCAGGCCCACGCCAGGAGGCTGAGTCACAGAAACCAGTAACTGCAGTTTGATGCACCAGGTCCGTGTGGAGGCTGCCTCCTTGTAACGACCCGATGGTGCTGGCGTCATCGTTCATTTTACCCAGGTGAGTGATGAGAGCTCAGAGAAGCCCAGTGAGTTGCCTGAGAGCACATAGCTCAGGAGGAGCTGGACAGGACTTCGAGCCCAGCAATGAAGCTGGGGCACAGGCTGGCCATCATGGTGCTGTGCTGCTGGGGTGGGTGGGCTCCTTCCCAGGACTGGGGGGAGCCCACTCCCAGCAGGAGGGAGAGGCCAGGGATGGTCTCTACCCTTCCTGGCTCTAATTCATGCCTGAGAATGCTCCCTGGTGCCCAGCTGGAGTAGGGAGCGGCAGGGTGGGAAACTGGGGGAACACCAGTGTTCATATGCTCCTTCTGAATGGTGGTGTCTTTCTGATCAGGGTCAAGTCTCCAGGCCTCCCATTTCTTGGCTCACAAAGGGGTGATGAAGCAGGAACAGGCCCCCAGACCCGGCCCAAGTGTCCCACCCACAGCGGCCCTTGGATGTTCTGATGGCTGAAGAATGACAGTGGGCTCCTCTGGCTGACGGCTTCTTGCACCCCATCTGCACAGAAGCCCCTCAAACCCCGGAGACAGGCCTCTAGAGGTGGAAGCAGAGCAAGGCCTCAGGCTCTCCTAAACCCAGCACGCGCATTCTGATCTGTCCCCCTCGGGGCGGCCAAGGGCCCCAGCCGTTCAAGGGAGAAGCAGACTCCCGGGTGGTGGGCATGGTGTGGCTCAGGGCTGACAGATGGTGTGGGGGCTGCAGCAGGGGACACAGAAGGGCGCACCCCTGGAGGCCTGCACAGGAGTTCTGATCCAGCAGAGAGCTGATGGGTGTGAAGGTGGGAGCAAGGGCCCCTACTGTGTGGGTGCGGGGGGTATGTGGCCATCCACACGGTCACACCCTGCTGATGGGCTCAGTGCCCTGAGGCTCACAGTGGACAGTGACTAGCTGGGGTCATGGAACTGGCTCCCTGTAGAGCTGGGACTGAAACTGGGGTCCACACAGTTCCAAGACCACCTTAGGCCACCAAGCTCCGAGGCAGAAAGGGTTTCAGGGGGGCAGGTGGTCCTGGGAGGCCTGGGCCGTCAGAGGGGAGGGGGACGAACCACGACCTGGGGAGCGCCAGACACTGCCTGTCTTCCCAGGGTGTCCTCCGGGTGGGGTGCTGCTCCCATGAGCCACTCGGAGGCTTGCCTGGCTGCTAGTCCCAGCCAGCCCAGCCCAGCCCAGGACCACCTCGCTAGCAGGGAGGCTCTTCTGATCCTTGAGTAACTGGAGCGGACACTGCTGCCAGTGACCAGTGAACATCCCTCCCCCCGACTTCCAACCTTCCAGGGCCGCTCCCCGGGTGGGAGGCCTCGGGACCTGTTATGGAGGATGGCACAGTGGGCAGAGATGGGACCACCAGGCCAAGTGCTCCAGTACTTAATAGCCATGTGACACCAGGAAAGCACAAGGCCACCCAGACCCCCCGCGTCTGCCTCAGTCCAGCAGGAGGCCGGTGACGTCAGTGATGTCAGACCAAAGCGCCCGGAACAGGCAACTGAGGAAGGACCACGGTCGGCCCCCACCCAAGCTCAGACAAGGTGCAGAAGCAGCACAGCCGGGTCAGGGCTGAGAGGATGTGCACCTTGGGGGTAGGCCACCCGGCGCTTTCTGGAGGGGATCTGAGCCTGGACGTCATCGTTCAATGGAGGGGAACACCTGAACCTATTTCAAGGAAGCGGGGAAGGAGACAGTGATGAGAGAGAAGCAAAAACACAGGAGGGGAGGAAAGAACTGAGCAGGGAAGCGTAGGGGCCCTGGGCTGTCAGGCCAGGATGGCCTTCCTCCATCAGGGTGGAGGCTGGCGGAGGGTTGCCCTGGCACAGAGAGCTCCTGGACCCCATCCTGGTAGCAAAGGATTAGGAAACGGGGAGATGTGGACAGCAAAGTTGTCTCCCTGGTGATGGCCAGCACAGGGCTGCTCGTCAGGGCTGGGGGAGCGGGGACCAAGAGGGAGCAGGCAGGGAGGGTGCAGGGCAGTGAGCTGGAGGGTGGCATGGTGGGAGCCTGCCCAGGAGACACTGGACAGCAGTGTGGCAAAGGGGCAGGAGCATGGTCCACAGCAGGGAGCTCGTGGAGGAAGAGAGCTGTAGTAACCAGAGTGACAGTCACTGCTGGGACGCGACATGCTAGTGTCGTCAGACAGCTTCCACTGTCACGGCCCCAGCAGATACGTCATGGGCTCGTGGGTAGGCCAGGCACAGCTGTGACAGCTTCATGGGACTGTTATGCCCACTTTAGAGATGAAGAAATGGAGGCACAGAGAGGTTAGGCTACATGCCTAGAGGCATACAGCAACTGCAGTTCCTCTGGGATATTTCAGGGCTTTGCAGGAAAGACCCCTGAACCACCCTACCGACAAGGGCTGACCATCCAGCCACCTGTTGTTGGAGGGGCTCTGTCTCCAAGGCCCTGATCCACCTCAGATCATAAGAAGCAGGCAGTTCTGAGGCCCCTTGTCATCTGGGGACTCAGTGTCCAGCTGATTACTGGAGACGGGTGTCAGGAGGGTGCAAGGGCTGCAGCTGGAAGAGGTCAGTTGAGTGTGTGGTGGGTACGGGCTGAGTGGGCAGCAGGGAGGTCTAGGACAGGGTGGGCAATTGTGTCCTGCCTTGGCCCGGGGGTGCCTCCACTCTCTGGCTAAGCCCCCGGACTCTGTGACTTGGTCTGTTTGGCTCACACCACAGCACTGGAAAGGCCTGCCTGGCTGCCTGCAGAACCCGAGGACCCCACCCGACGGTACTGGCCTCTTACCATGTCCAGGGCCACCTTCATGGCCTCCTGTAGCCCAAAGAGCTTCCCGGCCACCAGGTAGACCCCGCCTGTCCACACGGCGCAGGCCTCATGCACCCAGTGCTCCTGGGTGTCCCCGCCAGGCTCGGCCGGCGGCTCCTTGCTGCACTCGTGCTTACGGCTCTTGTCGGCTGGGGCTGCCTCCTCACTGCCATCCCCCCGACCGTCACAGCAGTAGCAACTCTGCAGCCGCCGGGACAGGCCCCGGGCACTAGTGCGCAGAGAGCCCTGCTTGGCCGGATCAGCTGGGCCATCAGGCCTGGGGGGCTTCCCGGTGGTGGTGGTGGCAGCAGCAGACGCAGCAGCTGGGCACTCGAGGCCTTTGAGTGTCCTCTCAAGAGGCAGCGAGGCCTCCTCACAGGTGCCCTCCAGCCGCACCTTCTCCTTGAGTTTTGGCTTCTTTTTGGGGAGGCAGTGTTCAGGGTAGTAGGGCCCACAGAGGTCCCCAAGGTCCTTGAAGTTGGCCGGGTTTTGGCAGAGGCAGCAAACAAGGCAAGAGGTACTCAGGGCCTTGGAAACCACGGGCCCCAGGTGCATGGTGGAGGAGAGGGGCAGGGAGGGCCGAGGCTGTGGGACAGAGCCTCCAGGGAGCGTGGCTAGGGAGGCCCCGGCCGCATCCAAGGAGAAGGAGCAGGACGAGGAGGAGGAGGAAGAGGAAGGCTTCCTCTGGGGCTGGGGCTCCTCTCCGGGGGAGTTGACAACAGTGCAAACAGTGGTGAACGCACCCCGCTTCTCTACCCGCACGAAGGGCGAGAAGGCAGGAGTGCGGCTGTCTGCCCGCAGCCGCTTGCAGGAGGAAATGTACTTGAGGCGGATTTCAGGCTCGGCGGGATCCAGGGGCAGCACCTGCTGCTGCCGCCGCCGCTTAGCACGCCCCTTACAGGGTGAGGAGGTGGTGCTCTTGGCCCGGCCCCGTGTGAGGCGCTTCCGCTTGGAATAGCTGCTGTAGTTGGCATGGCCTGGCTGTTTCTGTGCCCTTGTCTGGGGCTGGCAGGGCCGGCCCTCTGGGGGCTGGGCAGCCAGGCCCAGCTCCTCCGTCTTTGGCTTCTTGCCTCCTACGCCAGAGCTGTCCTCACTGGCCCCCTGCGTGCCATTGGCCCTGTCTCGGGGAGTCAGCAGCAGAGTTGGGCCGAGGTGGGGCCTTTTCTCCAGGGAGCCTTTGGGGAGTCCAAGAGCCCCAGCTCTGCCTTTCCGGCTTCTCTTCTTAGGCGCCAGGGCAGTGCCCCCGGGCAGCAGGGCCTCTGGGGACGTGAAGGCCTCCGTTTTGAAACCATCGGTCAAGGACAGTTTCTTACTGTTCACGAGTTTGCCTTTTAAGGATCTATTGGTCGGATTTCTGCACAACGGCTCAGCCCCCAGAGCTGCCGGGAACTTCTGCCCGGGACTCACATTTAAGAGACCTTCCTCTGTCCCCAGAAGGCTGCCCCCAGTGCTCTTGAGCCCACGTTCCTTCTCGGGGAGAGATGGGCTCACAGGATTCCCGGGAGGGGCCCCTGGGGCTCTGCATGCAAACTTCTTCAGGCTGGGCGAGGTGATCTTCTGCACAATGGCCTCTAGCTTCAAGCCCCGGCCTTTCCGGGGTGGCAGCACCTTGGTCTTCATGGCCCCCTGGAAGGACGCCCGTGAGGCCAGCTTCAGGCTGGTGTCTGGGGTCTCCAGGGGTGGTGGCTTCGCTGTGGGCTCACCATTGCCCTTGGTGGGTTTCGCCTTCTTGGGAGACGTCATCCTCTTGAAGAGGGTGGGGGAGCCCTCGGCCCCCTCCTCCTTCACGTCTCCCCCAAGGCCACCACTGCGTAAGACCAGGTTGCGCTTCTTGGTGGGGACAGGAGCCATGAAGGCTGACTTCCTTTTGAGGGCATGGAGGGGTCGATCTGAGAGCTTGCCGCTGGCACCAGGCTTGGGAACTCTCGCCCGCTGGCCCGCCCTCCCCTCCTTCTGGGGGCTGCTAGTGACCTTGAAGGTGGCGGGCAGGTGGTTGTTGGCAAGGAGCTTCTTGGTGGCACGGCAGTTTGGCAGTCGGCTCTCCGAGGGCCGTCTGCGCTTGGAGTGGAAGGCCTCCTGGGCCCTGCTGCGGGACCGCAGGATCATGGACCGTTGGTCTTTGCCCGGTGCATCCAGTGAGTCTGTCTCCTTGGTCTTGGAGCCCATGGGGCTGCTGTCAGAGGCCACAGGCAGGGCGGCCGGGTTGCTGGGGCTGGATGCAGCCTTTGGGGAGGGCTTCCCCACCCGCTTGCCTGACTTGAAGGCGGCTCGCTGCTTGCCCCCCAGCTTGTCTGGAGGGGCAGGAGTGGTGGGCAGGCCTGGGGGTCCGGGTGTGCGGGGCTCGCTCAAGGCCGTGAAGGAGCGGGTGCACATCCTGGGAAGTCCTTCTGAGATCCCCCGGCCCGGGGCCCCCGCCCCCTCCATCTGTCCCTGGGGGGGCCCCGTGCATGATTCGGGGAGCAGCAGGTCTTTGGGCAGCGCCGGTGCCCTGCACGGGGAGTCCTCAGCCTCAGGCAGCCCCCGGTGCACCCGTCGGCTCCGCAAGCTTTTGCCACGAGGCACGGGCTCTTTTTTGGCGATGGGGGCCTCGGGCACAGCAGGCTTGTTTGGCTTCTGTGCCAGGGAGGCCTCTGGGGTCACGGCGGCAGAATCCCCTGGGGCCAGCACCCCCTCGGGCCCCTCTTCCTCTGGCTTCATATGGGATAGGGAGGACTCAAACCAGCTCTGAACCTTGGACTCGGCACCCACGGTGGGGCCCAGCAAGATGACCGAGTCCCCGGAGAGGGGGCACGGGGAGCCCCAGCCGGCCTTGGGGTCCAGCACCTCCTCCACTTCCTCCTTGCCACACAGCAGCGTGGCCTTGGGCGACAGCGCATCCTGCAGGCCTGGCCTCTGCTCGGGGCTGCCCAGGAGCTCGCACAGGGACGAGTACTCCTCGGCCTCCAGGTCCTCCTTCCGGCCTGGTGCCGGCAGCAGTGGGAGGTCCCCAAAGTCGGCAGCCGAGCAGCAGTGCCGGCTGTCTTCCAGCCAGCGGTCGGCCTTGCCCACCTCGGGGCACTGCAGCAGCCCGCCCGCCTCCTCCTTCACCCCGCCCGCCGCCTCCTGCTGGGAGTCCCGGGGCACTGCAGCCTTCTCCCCAGGGGGCGCCTCCTCCTGGAAGCCCAGGCAGGCCGAAGCCTCTCGGGCGTCCTCCTGGCTGGCACTGTCCGTGACCTTTCCGCCCTGCTCTAGACCCTTGGTGAGCTCACTGGGGTGCAGCCCCCACCGAGGACAGGCATCCCCCAGGTTCTCCTCGGGCCAGGCAAAGGGGTGGGCACCATCCGCGGAGCCGGCAGAGGTCGTGTCTGGGAAGCAGTCAAAAGCCACGGTGGGATCTGAGGCCGTGGCCCCCAGGGTGGGCTTGGCGCTGAAGGAGAGGGGACCAGCTGTCTTCTTGGGGTCAGGGGTGGTAAAGCCCACAGAGGGGTCTTCAAATAGCCCTGGACTGAAGTCCTTGGCACTGCTGCCCTTGTCCAGCTGCAGGGCCTCAGGCAGGGCCTCTGGCTCCCCTGGCCGTGACCATGCACCTTTGGCCACAGGGTCCAGGCAGGCGCTGTGGTTCTCCAGAGAGAAGGGCGGCTTGCTGGCATCTTTGGCCAGGCCCGGAGCCTCAGCCCAGGCCTTATCGGCCTTCTCGCTGATGGCCTCCTGCAGTCCCAGGATCTCAGAGGCCAAGTCCTCCTGTGCCAGGGCACTGAGCAGCAGTCGCGGGCAGTCCCGCTCACCGGCCACAAGCTTGGAGAAGCTATCGAGGGGCAGGCTGCCGTGCAGGCTCTGGAAGGAGTCATCAGACTTGGTGGACATGTCGTCTGGCGAGGTCACGGAGCAGGTGGACACGGACTCGGGCTTGGCCTTGGAGCCGCCGTGGACCCTGGCGGGGCTGCCGCGGGCCTGGCTGCAGTAGAGGAAGCTGCGCTCCAGCGGGTCCTCAGAGCCGCTCAGGTAATCAGCCTCAGGTGGCTCAGCGTGCGTGGACTGCGGTGTGCTGCTCAGTGGCTCCGATAGCGGTGTGCCCGCTGGCTCGGCCGAGTAGCCGCTGCCCTCAGGGCTGCAGTGCTGGCTTTTGTGCTGCTCCGGGGTCCGGGCCACCAGGCTCTTGAGGCTCTTCTTCTGAGGCCCGGCCGCCTTGGACAGCAGCAGCTGCTGCACGGTGTTAGAGATGTTCTCCACCTGGGAGGTCAGGGCCGTGAGGCTATGCAGGCTGAGGTCTGACAGCAGGCTCTCAGGAAGCTTGTCCTTCTGCAGGACCTTGCAGTTGGCGGCCTGGGTATCCACAGAGCCAGCAGCATCTGTCGGGGAGGGGTTGAGCAGGGGCATGAAGTGGCTGTGGTCGGTGAGGCCGGCGGGGAAGGTCCCAGGGCCGAGTGGCTGCTGGTTGTAGGGAAAGTTCTCCAGGTTGGGCATCAGTGGCGACGGGGTGGAGCTGTAGGAGGGTGAGCGGCCCACGGAGCGGGCGGGTGAGTGGCCAGAGCCGGGGCTGAAGGTCTGGTAGTACTGCTCTGGGGTCCTGACGGTTGCATCCGGCTGACAGTAACCTGGGCCTTGCTGCCCATAGTGTTGGTACTTGGCGAGGTTTTGGTAGTGCAGGCTTTCCTGGGCATGGTGACGGCTCTGGAGGGCCTGCTGCTGCTGCTGCTGCTTCTGTGTGTCATAGCTGAGGCGGCTGGACTGGTAGGCGTGAAGGTTCGGGACCCGCTGGCTGGGGGCCAGGCTGGCGTTGGCGGTCAGCGGCCTGTCATGGGGCTGGGCGGAGGGGGCCGTGCAGCTCTTGTAGGAGTGGGCCCCCTGCCCGCCAGCCTGGCCACTGGAGGAGTAGGTAGAGGAGGCGGGGAAGGACTGGGACTGCTGGGGGAAGTGGCCGCCCTGGGGGAAGGGCAGGGGGGAGGCAAGGTCACTCTGGGGTTTCTGCCTCTGGAGCTTAGGGTATGCCAGGGATGGCGGGGGCTGCGGCAGCTGCTGCTGGACGTGGAGGGCGTGAGTCCGGAAGGGCAGCTGGGCACCCTGCTCAGGGTACTGCCGACTGGGGGGCACCACCGTCTTTTTCATCAGGTTCTCGTCATATTTGCCCACCCCGCCTGGCAGGGGCTGCGGCTGAGGAGGGGGTGGCTGGGGGCCCCCCCAGGCCTGCAGGCCCTCCTCGCCTGAGTAGCGGCCTGGGTAGGGGCTGCCGTCCTGGACAGTGTAGCCTGCGAAGGCTGGCCTCCCTGGCGGGGCCTGCGGCGAGGACAGGCCTTTGCCGGCACGCGCGGTGGCGGGCGTGCCTGCGCCGCCCTCGTAGCCAGGGAAGGGCTGCGGGCCGTAGTAGTCCTTGGTCAGCAGACGCTGCCGGTCGCAGCTCAGCCCAGCCTGACTTGGCTGCCTATAGTTCTCCAGGCGCGACGTCTCCTGTGAGGTCTGCTGGTAGGTCTGCTGTTTGCCATGGAAACCACACCTTTCTCGAAAAGACTGCATGACTTGGGCTGGTTATCTGTGAAAAGAGAAAGGGCGAGAGGGAGGGCGGGGAGAGGAGGGCAGAGCGGGTGGGGTTCAGACGGGCCATTTCCTTCCCTTGGAAAGCCAGCCCCCTCCCGCCCTGCCCCCTCCTGCAGCCGCCCCACCAGCTGTGCACATATTGACAACTTCTGTGTCAGGGCCGCGTGCTCTGTAATTCCCGCTCTGATGGGGACAGGGAGGTGCAGCCTGGCTGCCCAGCGCCAGGCCACTGGGGAGCTGCCCCCCCTCCTGCCACCAGTTCCCCCTCCCCCTCCCCGCCGGCTCAGAATCATTTAGCCATTCCCGCTCCCCTGTCCCCTGGGGCTGCTGGATCCGGTAATCTAGCCCCAGCGCAGCAGTGTTCAGGCGTGACCCAGCTCGTGCGTGTGTGTATGTGTGTGCCTGTGTGTGTGTGTGCATGGCACGGGGGATGGCCTGCCCTGCCCCAGAAACCACTCAGAGGCCTGGAGTCTGCACATGTGAGCACACGTGCGTGTGCGCGCGCGCACACACCCACACACACCCCTTCTCCATCACTGCACACCTTCTTCATCACTGCATACACACAATCCCCTTGTCTATTACACACACACGCACACACCTTCTCCATCACACACACATTCCCCTTGTCTATCCTTACACACACACACCCACACACCCCTTCTCCATCACTACACACACATTCTCCTTGTCTATCATCAGACACACACACCTCCATCACTGCACACACACATACACACCTTCATCACTGCACACACACACTCCCCGTGCTTGTTACACACATACCTTCTCCATCACACACACACACACACCTCTTCTCCATCACTGCACACACACATTCCCCTTGTCTATCATCAGACACACACACCTTCTCCATCACTGCACACACACACACACTGCTGTTCTCCATCAATGCTATGCCCTCTGGAAGCTGTCTGCTCCGTCTGGCAGACGCTGACAAGGGGCCGCCAAGCCACTGTGGGCATAAGCTGTCCCTCCCAGGAGTGCGGGCGGTGGCCCTGCCTCCTGTGTTAGTGTCACAGGCACACAAACAGGCTGCGCAGCCCTGATGAGGCAGCGATGGGGCAGAGCTGCAGTCCCTCTGCCTGAGGCGCCTGGGCCTCCAGGTCAGCCCCGCCCGCCTGCACCAGGTCAGGGCCAGGCCAAGAGCCCATCTGTTTCTGATTTTCAGGGCCGGGCACTCAAGGGGTCCAACCTGCACCAAAGCAAGATCCTGGGTCAGGAAATGACCTCAGGTGGGGGTGGGGTTGGGGAAGGCCCTTCAGGGCAGAACAATGGGGTCACATAACAGGCCGGCTGTAGCGTCCAGGCTAGTGGCCCCCTCCCCTCCCCCAAGACCCTTCGAGGAGGGAGGAAGGAGCAAGGACACCCTGGCTCGGGGAGACAGAGCGAGGGCTGGTGGCAGCCTGTGTCCTGGCCGCTGGGTTTATCCACACCTCGCTCACCTGCAGGGCCCAGGCCCCCAGAAGGGCACAGGGGACTTTTCAGGGCCAGTTCCAAACCCAAGAGGAAGGGGTGGCCTGGCGTGTGCTCCGAGCCTCCAGGGCTGTGTGAGGCATGGAAAATAAGGGGGCACAGAGAAGGGGGGGCAGACACGCAGATGTGAAAGGGAAGAGGCATTCCCCTAGGGGTCTCGGTCACCCCTTCTTCACCCAGCTCCCACCTCCTCATGCAGTTGTGGGGGTCGGGGGGCGGCTGATCTGTGAGGGGCCCGAGTTGAGTAGGTCCAGCCCAGGGTAGGTCCAGGACGGCCCCAAGGAGCCCCATCAGCCCAGCCCAGGCCCCTCCCTGCCCTTGGCGGCTGGCTGGTTCAGCCCCAGGGCCCCAAGCCCACCGCAGGGCCCCACAGCCCACTCCAGGGCCAGCCCCACGGCCATGGCCTCTCCCTGGCTCATCACAGGCTCCCTGATGTGGAAGCCCCCCTCTGACCCACTTCAGTCCATCCCGCGGCTTGGATCAAACACGACAGGAGTGCCTGCTGTGACCCAGAGCTGGAGGCAGTGCTGGTTCTAACGGGCAGCTCCTGCAGGTGGGCAGCCCCAGGGCCCCCACACCGACCTCCCAGGCAGGTGCCCCCTGCCATCCTCGGGCAGCACTCGCGGGCGGCCCCCCGCTGCCCAGGCTGTCAGAGGCAGGTGGAGGTGCCGCTACTCAAGGTGTCCCCCGCGGGCAGGCAGGGTCAGCTGGGCCCCTGGGCCCTGCTCCGCCCTCCCCGGCCACGTTACAAGCCCGGAACTCGCACACTCAGGCTGGCTCAGGAGGCTTCGCCTCGTCTATCTGCACAAATTACATCCCGGCTTTTATTAGTCCCAGATCGCGCTCATTTCCCGCTGAGTGTCCTGTGGATATCATTAACATTTCTACAGCTTTTTTTAATATACTTTTTTCACATTCCCCCAAAATGCATTACCAGAAACATTATTTAAAAAGAGAGTGTGCTCTGACCAGCGCCCCCTCCCTGTTTAACCAGTCCAGCTGCCGCATCTTTTAATGTCGTCGAGCTGTGTTACAGTGGGTTTTCCGATACACAGGAGCAGCTGGATGTGGTGAGAGCATCTATCTCGAAAAAAAGACAGTTCAATTAAAATATGAGAAGCCCCACGCCTGATGGAGAAGGCAGCAGAACGCTCACCCCAGCACCAACCCCCAGCCTGGCAGGGGTGGGCAGCACCAACCCCCAGCCTGGCAGGGGTGGGCCCCCCCATCCGTGTAGGAACAAAGGCTGCCACCAGGCCCTGTCCCACCAGCATCACTGGGAGAAAGTGGGGCTCGGCCTCTTTAAAAGCTGTCTTGGGCCGACACGGGCTCTGTTGTTATTAATTATTGTGATTATGATTACTTTTCAAGAGCACCAGCAAAGGACAGGAGGGAAAGAGGCAGGCGGAGAGCTGGGGTGGGCAGCATCAGGAGGTAGATGGTGACCTCCGAACCTGGGAGGGAAGGAGGGGGCAGGAGGGCACCAGCTGGGGGTCAGGGGAGCACCCGCCAACACTCCACTCCCAGTCCAGCCCAGCCTCCCCATCCCTGCTTCCCCTCCCCCTTCTCCCAGACACTAGGTCAAGGCACAACTCTGAAATTCTAGCCAAATGGGAAGCAAAGGAAGAGGGAAAAGGAGGGAGGGAGAAAGTCAGTCCTGAGCTCCAGATCACCTCCCTTGGTGACTCCTGCAAGCTGGCCTGCCCACCCCATGCCCCAGGGCTTCTCTACCTCAGCGACGGGTCTCCCTGCCCTGCAAAGGGATGTGATGAGCCCCAGAGCCCACCCCAGACACAAGACCAGCAGCCCCCAAAGGTGTTTGGTAGCAGGTGAGCCAGGGCTCAGCCCTTCTTTCTGGCAAAGAGCAGAAGTCTCTGTGGTCCCCCTGCAGGCACTCTGGGGCCCAGGGGGGCAGGGGCAGCCTTGGCCATGGGGCCTGCTCCCCCCTTCTGCATACTCACTGCTTTGACCCTCCTGCCCTGTTACAGAGAATGGGAGGCTCAGAAAAGCCAGGACCTGCCACTGAGCCACCCACAGGAAGTTCTTTCAGATGGACCCTGCAGCAGTGTGGACGGCCCTCACTGAGAAGTCCCACTTTAGAAGAAGGCCCCCTGGAGCACGACGAGGAAAAGGGGTTCCAACGTCCCCTCTGCAACCTGAGGCCCCAGAAGCCGGCTCAGGCCCGCCCCACCATAGGGAGTCCACTCTTGGCTGCCTGTTGTGCCATGTGCAGCCCCAGAGAGAACTCACTGGGTGCACGGCCTCTTCAGCCCCCAGGGGCAGGGCCTGACAGCGTAGGCAGGAGCATACTGCAGCTCCGCCGGGGCTGGGGAGGGAGGGGGCGAGAAAGGAGCTTCTGTACCCCAGCGGGCTCTGGGGCTGCAGGCGCATCCCACCTGCTGACCCAGGGTGGTTTTGTGACCTGGTTTTCTGAGCTGTAGCTGCAGGGGAAAAGCTTTAAAACCCAACCCCCTCAAGACCTGGGAACCAGGAGGCTGGGGGTGGGGGTGTCCCAAGAAGATCAGAGCTGGTGGGACCACCTTGGGCCTCCCTCTGAATTGTAGGTGATGAACACTGTGAACAGGACACCTTGATTAAAACCATCAGCTGCTAGTCAAACTTACAGCTATTCTGTGGGGTCTATTTTGAGTCCCAAGGGCTTGGCTTGAATGGGGGGGGCGGGGGCGGAATGAGTTTCCAAGGAGGCCCCAAGACAAGAGAGCCCAGTGCCCCCAGGCCTCTGGGACAGGGAGGGCCCTTGGGTCAGCCACTGGGGGAGGTCTGCTTGGGGCAGAGGGGCCCATCCAGGGGCAAAAGGAATTACAGAGACAAGGCAGCCCCTCCGCCCCCTGTGTGTGCGCAACACACCCATAAATGCTGTGCAGCCCTCCTTGCTCACCAGCACCCAAGGGAAGGCCCCTCAGGTCCGACACGCCACTCTATAGGCCCGAGAGGCAGGCAGACAGCCAGGCTGCTTTGCTGAGGCTGGGGTCCCCGGGAAGTGGGCTCTTTGAAGGATGTTGGAATGGGAGGGTGGGTCTTCTGGACTCCGCAGATGTTTGGAAAGTGCTTCCTGAAGCCCACCAAGCTGCCTCCTCCAAGGACGCCCCCGGCGGAGCAGCTAAGACATACTAGGCCACCAGACCAGAGCCTCCCCTTGGGGTCCACCCACCAGGAGGATGTGGTGCCCCATCTGAGCACTCCACTATCCTGGGCACTTCGGGGCACTGCCTGTGGGCCTGCTGCTCTGTTAGTTCCCTAAGGCACCCCGCCCAGGAAGGCAGCCATGACCCCACTTTCAGGAGTAACCTGCTGAATTCCCACAGCCAGCCCACAGGCCGCAAAGCTAAGCTCTCAGCTCCGTTCCGACTTCTAAAGCCATGCTTGCTGACCCCGCCCCTGGTGCAGCTTCTGGGATGTGAGGGCCAGAAGGTCCAGAGACCTAGGTCAGCTGGGCTGGAGGGGCCCATGGTCCAGGGGTGACAGGCAGATGGCCCA